CGAGGATTACAGCCCCCAGGCCCCAGCAAACTCCCTGAAGCCGAGGATTACAGCCCCCAGGCCCCAGCAAACTCCCTGAAGCAGAGGATTACAGCCCCCAGGCCCCGCGTTTCATCCTCATCCTATTCTTTCTGTCTCGCCCATTCATTCCTGTAGAATGTAACTCCAAGCCATTCACAGCTCATTTTGTCCAACATATAGCTTCTTTGGTTGTGCCCTCCTGTTTTGGAGGGGGGGGGGGGGGCACAGCAAGATCATGCTGTACGTGAGGAGCCACTTTCTCCTGCCGTACCAGCAGTAAATGACCCTCACCCAGGCCCTGTCAGTATGTGTGTAGTGTTGCTACTGGGGCCACAAATGAGACTGAGAAAAATAAGACCACAGAAGGGAGGGGGCATGTCAGGGCAGAGAGCTCTAACTGCAGTCCTGGAATGAACTTCTGTCCAAAGCAACGTACAAGCATGCAGAGCTTAGGATCGGAGAGTAGGCTTGGCCAGCATCCCTAGAGTAATTGGGGTTAAGAGCTCAGTGGTGACATTCCAGGGGATTTGAACCCATACCCTTCAAGGCACGGATAGCTGACTGTTGACCTCTTCACTTGCTTGCTTGGCTCTGGCAGCAAGGTGCTGAAGGAGGTACCAGTGGGTGACCTGAACCCCGACGAGACAATGCAGGTCCAGACGGAGGCCCAGCTGCTCGCCCAGCTCCACCATCCCTCCATCTTGAAGTTCTACAACAGTTTCCTGGAGAAGGACATCTTCTGCATCATCACCGAGTACTGTGAGGTGAGACCATCCAAGCGTGATGCTCTCGCTATGGCCTCCGATGGATGATTGGATCAAAGGTAGGATAAAGTGTAACTCATTGGTAGGAGTTTGGCTTTCTGTACCTGAAGGGTCTTGACAGGGACTGTGTTACAGAGGCTGGAGTGTGAGGTAACAGTTCTACTCCCCAAGCCACTGGTCCAGACAAGCCATATTTATGTGGCAGGTTGGAAACCCCCCCGGCCACGGGGCCCAAAAAATCCAGTCCGTGTGCTTGTCCCAGTCAGGAAATGGAGAGCTAGTCTGATTCAGTAATTCCCTGACACTTGCAGTGTTTGATCCCTTTTATCTACATCTCTGTCAGTGTTCCCCAACAATTATACAGTTTAATTAATCTGAATTTCCTAATTTTCCTAATTTCCTAAGGGGGCCGAGCGAGACGGCTGGGATACTCAAAGATACCGTATTATGCTTGTTCGTTCACATTAGCTCATGTGCCATTTAAGTAATGTGTCTCTTAAGCACAAAACGCACATTTGGTTCAGTGACAAATGCCAGCCAGGGATTTTCACAGAAGTCTTGCACCCCCCACTGGCAGCAAGGCACAACTGCAGGTACTGTACAGTTTGCCTGGTATCTCTCAGTCTATAATCGCACATAGAATGCACTACCAGGAAGAACAGGAAGTTTCTCTTGCTGACTTTTGACGTGGCTGAAATGCGCACGTCCCCCACACTGCAGGCAGCCCACCTTCATCTCTCCACTGCGTCTGAGGATCTGTGCCGTCACTCATCACACTGGATCCTATAATCTATAATCTAATCCGAAATTAAATGAAGCAAAGAGGGTGGGGTGCTGATGCTGACACAGTGTGGCCCATATCAAGGTCACAAATCCCACCTCAGAGCCACCCATCCACGTTAATGAGCCCTGAACATTGATCTCCATTGATCACAACCCCCCCCGCCAACCCCCTGTCCACAGGACAGTCAGCCGAGATGGAGTCGGGATTCCGGTTGGACTGTCACGTCCGCTGTGGTGAAGGTTGAGATGCAGTGATCGTACTGGCCGTGTCAGTGCAGTGCCTCTCTGTGCTATTTCCTGAGGTGGAAAGCTCAGGTCCAGAAAGTGCAAATTTAGACCAAGATTTTATTTCACCCACCATTTGAGTTCTCTGTGAATAAGACTGTTTATACTGGACTGGTTGGGTGAAACAAAATCTTGATCTGGATTTGTCCTTTCGGAACCAGAGCTTTCCGCCTTTGGCTGTTTCTGTCTGTGAGCCCTTTGCCAGTTCAGGTCATCTTCTGCCTGGCCCTGTGCAGTGATTAATGGCTGATCTGCAGCATGGTGCTATGCCTGCTAGCCAATGGGGATCTGCGAGAATCTTCATGAGAGCTCAGCAGGCCGTGTTCTCACAATCACACACCAGGGGGCGCCTCTGAGGCCTAGTGCAGCTGATAGCCCGATATTGATAACTGGCAGCTCTCTAATTAATGACCTGCCAGTGAAGTACTGGGCTGTCTCACTCGCATTCACTGCAGGACCTTCAAGCCGCCCAAGTACTTTTTTATCTTCATGAACAGGATTTGATTTTGTCGGCTGATGTCGACTCCCCCAAATCAAAGTAAATTTGGAACAGCCATGTCTTGACAAATGTAACTTCTTTTAATGAGTGGCTGAGCAGTGATGGCGATAAAGAATAGCATGGCGAACAGAGGGAGTCATGCAGACTCTGAGGGGCCGTTATGTCTTTATGGGGCGATATTAATTACCACATGACACATCGCGCCCTAAAACTGCCATGTGATTGGCTGGGTGCACTATTTGCCTCGTACCTCCAGGGTCGGGGGTTTTAAACTGCAGTCCCTGCTCCGTGTGGGTGGAGTCTGCGTTTCCCCCCACATTGCACAGGTCGCCTCCTGTCGACCTTCAGTTAGGGTAATTGGTGTTTCTAAATAGACCATTGCGCGAGCTCTGCAATGGTCTGGCACCAGTGAAATAGATTTTCGTTCCCATGGGACAGACATGTGGAGGGACAGGACTGAGAATGCCAGCGAAATAGATTTATATTCCTGTGGGATGCAGAGTGCAGGGATGGCGTGGAGTCATAATCTCAAAGCGGAAATGAAAGAAAAGTAAAAGAATAAAACGAACCTTCATGAGCCAAAGCTAGTGAATCGAATACGATTCATTTAATGGCTCTTCACAAAGGCATGTCTGGTAATTGTACCTTGAGCGAATTGAAATGTAATCTACATGCAGCCTCTTTACCCCGTTATACCTCAACAGCTTATTGTGCAAAAGAAATATGTTTAATCAATTAAGGGATTGATTGGCCCATTGCAGCTGTGTTTAGGCTGCTGGGCAGCCGGGAGACGTAGATCTCAGAGTGTCAGGCTTCGGCTGGAGACTCAGGAACGCTGGAAAGTCATTGTTTACAACAAAATGCTACTCACCTGGAGTCACTGGAGTTTCTCAGCGAATGTGTGTGTGTGTGTGTGTGTGTGTGTGTCCAGCACTCGTGTCAGTCACTCAAATGTTTGTGTATTCCGCAATACTTATGCTGGTTTAATTTCAGCTTGTTTTATTGACTATGCCTGGTTTTAACTGTTAATCTTGGTGGTGGTCTGGTGGTTAGGGAAGCATACATGTAATTAAAAGATTGCTGGTTTGAATCTCTGACCAGCAAAATACCACTGAGGTACCCTGACCAAGGTCCCGCCCCCAGGCCTGCTCCCCCCGGTGCTGCCCCCTGCTGAGTCACATATTGGTTACATGCAAAGGACACATTTCACTGTGGTGTGTCATCAATGACCACTTTTCACTTCACTTTATGTTTATAAAGCATTTACAATTGAAGGTTCTGGATGCAGTCCCCATGAATGAATGGGCTCATTAAATCTGCTAGCATCCATGCAAGTCACCTTCTTTGCTTATGAATGATGTGATCGTTCAGTCCTACATGGAATTTTAACTGAAAAATTGTTTAATCTGTTCTTTAATCAGCTGATCACTGGTTACTAGTATCAGTGTATGCTGGATTCTTCTGATTTAAAATTCTGTGCTTTTATGTGACTGACACAAAGGTATAATGACAGGCAAGTACAATTCAGATCAATACTGTGCAGTATTGACTCAAGATGGGTGGGGGAGCGCCGGCCGTGGGGGTGCGGTACGTGTATTTATGGTGCCCTTGGGTTCAAACTCACCCGGACAGCCCCGCAATGCCCCCCTCCCACCAGCCTAAGCTGTCATTACACAGTAAGCATGAAGCTGAGGGAGCAGTTGGACACCTCTGATGACAACAGTGAGGGAAATGCAGTGAGCCCTTCAGACACTGGAGCACTGAGACACCCGTCACAGAGCAGAACAGCTCAATCTGGGGCCCCCTATGGGCCGCGTGTCTTCTGGCTTTCATACCAACTCATTCCTCTGCATCAATCACTCCAATTTCCAGTTAATTATCAGTACAAATCATGATTCATTGCCCACAGAAATCTAGCCATGAAATAAGGCAATCCCTAAATGCTTGGGAAAATGGTCATTTTTAAATGTGTTCCATTTTAATCAACTACATAAATGATCAAAAATATTGTGCCTGGATGATACAGTAAGTTTGGACATTAAATATGTTGACATCACATTTATTTACAGACTCTCCCCAACCTATACGACTTATGATGAAATGCACACAAGACCAAAGTGCTAAAAAAAAAAGTAAATCTATGTAAAAATAAATTTGGGGAGGTCATATGTCCAGCAATGCTATGTTACCTAATGCGCTCTCCGCACCGTAAAGAAGTTTGGGAATCCTGTACTTATTGTAAGGTTCTTACCTTAACTGCAAGAAATTGAAATATTAAATGTGTATTTGATAATTCCACCACTGCCTGGATTATAAGCAATGTGGAGTTACAGCGTTTAGGTATCTTAAATATCCACTTATTTTCTAGATGCCTTATATTCATATTTAGATTTATATGCCACCACAAAATGACCTCTGGCCCCACCCTGGCCACCCCACTGACAATTTTCTGGCTCTGCTTCTGTTCAGAGTAACATACCAGGAAAGCTTGGGGTCACAGTTCAGGGTCAGCCAGCGTCACACACCCTCGGAGCATTTGGGGTTAATGGCCTCGCTCAACGGTGTAATGATTATTCAGATGGCAGGATTCAAACCTACAAACTTCCAGACATGGGCACAGATCCATAAGCCACTGAGCCACACCCCCCTGGCTTACAGTCACCATTACCCATGATGCCTCTGAAAATGTTATGCTTACAAGCACTTCCAAAGTGCTTAGAAACACAAGCAGCGCCACAGCAGGATCTATGTATGAAGCAAGCTGGGAGATTCTAGATGACTGAAGCGTGAAATGCAGAGAGACCCAGTAATTGCCTGGATCCAATCCAGCAGATTGTGATAAACATACGGCTGTATACAAGCAAGTGAGGAATGTGTACCAGACACTGGCTCTCCACAGTTCCTCCTGGATGTCAGTGACCTCTCTGGATTCCCTCTAGATGGGGCTTTGCTTTGCTCCCCCATAATGAAACCACCCTTCCAGCCAGTTTTCTTGACCCTCCCCTCCCTGTCTCCACATGACACGTGTTGTTCTGATTCCAGCCTCTAGAGTGAGCAGTGTGGCTGTTAGGGGCAGCAGAGCTGCAGGGGTGCAGCGGCTGCTAACAGAAAGCTGCCAAGAGCCGCTTCAGACAGCAGCCTACTTGACGCAGCTTGTTCTGACTGCAGGATGGGGATCTGGACTGCAGGCTGGAAGAGCTCCGCCAGGCAGGGGCGAGGCTACCTGAGAGCCAGGTGGCGGAGTGGCTCGTTCAGCTGCTGCTGGGCGTACACTACATGCACCAGAGGTGGGTGCGTCTTCTGCTAACCAGACACCTGTTCAAAGATTCCACAATTATCGGGGCAGAAAAACCAGGGTCATTTCCTGTACTATACCTTAATGGGTCCCCCTAGGAACCTTTGCTGTGTCAACATAGGTTCCAGATATACTGTACTTCAGTGTTAGCTACTTCATTGAGCTAAACCCATTTAGAGCACAGCCCCATGGTCTGCTCTGGGCTGTCTGTGACATACAGCACCTTAATTACCCTTTGACTGTGCTCTGTGATGAAAGCTTTGCTGAACACAGGACTCACCCCAGAAGTATCCCCCTGAGGGCCAGCAGCAACATTAAACAAATGACCGTTTTTGGACGATGGGTCCTTTCCAGGTGTTACATCCAAATGCCCCATTTATTCAGCTACGATAAAAAAATAAGCAGCAGATTGCAGATGATTAAACCAACACAGAGTATCCATCTTCCCTTTGCTTCCCAGGAAAATCCTTCACAGGGATCTCAAGGCCAAAAACATTTTTCTAAAGAAGAACATTGTTAAAATAGGTAAGTAGATCCCTAGGGATCCAGCAGGAATGGGTCTTTATACACAAGATGGGGGGTGTCCCACGGGTAATCCAGTACCACAGTTACTCATCTATCCATGTCAGCAAGGTTTGTACACTTACATTTCCTTACCTAATATTTATTGTGCATTATTTTACTATAAAAATGTATATGCTTCTCAGTGAACCAATAAAATGTGTTTTATGTACCTGCACATCTTCAACTGTGACCACATCTCCTGGTCAGGTGACTTCGGAGTTTCCCGCCTCCTGAATGGGTCATGTGACCTGGCCACCACCTTCACCGGCACGCCTTTCTACATGAGTCCAGAGGTGCTCAGCCATCATGGTTACAACTCCAAGTCAGACATTTGGTAAGCATGTGTTCAGTGGGGGTGTAGTGGTAAAGGAAATTGGCATCGGACTGGAAGATAGTAGGTGCCAATCCTCAAAGCAGCCCTTGAGGAAGGTGCATTCAATTATTTATCATGTATGCTTGTGTTTTGGGAGCTGGGAGTCAACGGGAACCAGATCAGTTGCCATAAGGTTTCTCAAAATGTGTTGGTGTGTGAAGTCAGGAAGTTTCCTGAATGTGTCCACCATACTACACATTAAGGTCACGGATGAGGAAAAGGGTGAAGAGGAGATGTTACGTCCAGACACTTGCTCCTTCAGCATCAAAGTCAGCATGTGGATGATGGTCAGGGTGGGCCTGGCAGATGTGCTGCAGGGCGAGGACATGAACCTGGACCTGGTGCTGCACCATGTTTGCAAGCAACTTCCCCAAGAGAAGATAAGGCAAAATTAACATGTGACGTAGGAGCACTTTGGAGTGGCAGTGAAGGGACCCTCGGAGCCGTCCGGAAGATATCGGTTTTGACAGGAAATGTAGACACTTCCTGCTAAGGGTTCTTCTGGCTCCCCTGAGCACTTCAGCAGCTTCATATCAATTAAGGATTCTGACGTGAAACCTCCAGCTCATCAATGCCCGCTGGCCTGGGGTCTCGCTTAGCAGGCCTTCCCGCCGGCCTGAGGTGTCGCTTAGCTGGCCTTCCCGCCAGCCTGGGGTCTCGCTTAGCAGGCCTTCCCACCGCCCTGGGGTCTCGCTTAGCAGGCCTTCCCGCCACCCTGGGGTCTCGCTTAGCAGGCCTTCCCGTCGGCCTGGGGTCTCGCTTAGCAGGCCGTCCTGCTCCGCAGAGATGCCACCAGTAATAGAGGTCAGCAGTGACTGGTATTTACAGCAACCCAGAGTGTGTGTGCAGTGTGTCTCCATGTGGATCTGGGTAGGGGGGCGACCCAAATGAATTCCCATCATGTCCCCGGCTCTCACTCTGTAAGTGCCTTTGAGTGCCATGTGACCGCCTGCTCCTGATTGTGGACGTGTGGACACCTCCCCGATGAGGCCTTTATGTCTCACCGACCCTGAGCACGGCACCGCAAGCCCAGATCATCAGACCCAACTTTCCTTTACACTGTTACAATTATTTTCCTTTTTTCAATTCAATAAAGCTAACTGCTTTATTTCATTGGTAATTAATTAATTGTATTATTATGAATGAAGCCCAGTTCATTAAGCCAGTGTTTCCCAACCCAGTCCCAGTCCCAACCATGGTGCGCACCTGTACCACCTGTACCAGGTATTCGGTGTTCCTGATTGGCTGGGGGCTGGGAGGGAGCAAAAACATGGACTGTCTGGGGTTCCCCAAGGACTGGGTTGGGAAACACTGCATTAGGCTACTGACAGTCATCCGGTCAGGTGACTTGCAGCCAAAAATGATCACAATGCTGGGGAAGTTAGTGAAGTCCAGCACTGTTCACAGCTTTGCTGCACAGCTTGGGGTTCACGCTGACAAGGGGTCAGAGGCTGCGTGTTTACATAGGCTGGCCGTCTCTCTGCCGTGTGGCCACAGGTGTTGCCAACATCCCATAATGACCAGCTGTCCCTGTGATCATTAACTAGGGAACCTGATTATCAATCTGTTGTTTCTGGGTATGATGCGAGTGGAACCTGCAGAAGCGAATGTAATTTCAGCTTCTGTGTGTTCACTGTGCTGTTGGAGATCTCCTTTAGCAGTGGAGGCTTGCTTTGATCTCACATGTTTCTGAAGGGGGCGCTGCAGCCTCCTTGCATATCCAAGACCGCTACGGCCGTCCAATGGACAGTATTTCTGTCTGACATCCCGTGTCTCATTCCAATCGGCTCCAGTAGCCCAAGCCGCCAGCCTCACTTGTCTGATACCGTATCCTCACTCATTGTCTTTGTCAAGGTTACCTGTATACAGATATTTTTAGTACCATGGTGCAGAAAACCTGTATTGTGACAGTGTGCATGAGTGGAGTGGCCAGATTGGAGCACCTATCCATATCTCTGATGGTATGAGGATCCTTTTATTCATCGTAAAAGCCTCAGATAAGCCTGTCTACTTATCTGCATAATCTTTTACTCAGTCTCAGTGGGACAATTCTAATTATATGATATATTTATGGAAGTTCTTTGTTAAAGGGTTTGGTAACTGGATAAAATGCATGAACGAGTATATCATCTACAAATATATTTGGAAATGGTCAGACACAGGAATTTATGGGTAATCCATTTCAGAGACTGTGTTTGATATATTGACATACAGGGAGGGTGTTTGAGACCACAGAACTTTCGAAATGACCGTCTGGCCTGCGTGAGATTTGGCCTATGACATGGGCGCCTCTTGATGATGTCATATTCAGGTCCCTGGGTTGCGTCCTATACGAGATGTGCAGCTTGGAGAGGGCCTTTAAGGGCCACAGTTTTCTGTCTGTGGTGATGAAGATCTTGGAGGGTCCTGTCCCGTCCCTCCCCCAGAGCTACTCCAAAGAGCTTGGTGCCATTCTGGAGGGGTAAGTTTCAACCCCCCCACACTGGGAGTTACCTGTCAAGTCTTCCGTGTGGTAGCATGAAAAGCAGACTAAAGGCAGCTTGGCTGCAGCACAGTGTATACAGCTTACAGAGAGGGTCAAGAGCTCCACTTACCATCAGGCTGAGCGTTAGATTCCCTGTTATAAGCGGGAGGTGTGATTGAAGGGGGTGTGATTGTTGGTGCCAGTTACAACAACTTAAAAACTGCCGCCCTCTGGGATTTTCACACAGTACTGTGTGCAGAGTTCATAGAGAACGATGCAGTAAACAAAAAACATCCAGTCAGCCACAAACACCTTGCTAATGAGGGAGGTCAGCGGAGAACGGCCAGTCTCATTAAAGCTACCAGGAAAACCGTAAAAGTGTGAAAATAACAGCTCAGTGCAAGCTGGTATGCAAAATGACGTCCCTGAGCCGGCGGTTTGTCTGCCCTCGCAGCAGTTCTGGAGGAGAAAGTGGGTCGTCAGTGGTATTTATTTTTATTGATATTTATATTTATATTTATATTAACATATCTCAAACAGTTCAGCACAACCTACTGCTGAAATTTCAATTAATTGAGTTAATCCAAATTACTCCAGCAGTGTATTTGTGTGGAAAGGCTCAAATTCCAGCATGGATGATCTGGTTCTGACAGAAGAATCTGAAACATATACTGTAGTGTCAGGAGGCTTTCAGTACCCACGGCGACGCTGGTATCATAGCGAGTAGCTAACATGACGGGACTGCCACCCTGTGTCTGCCCAGGATGCTCAGCAAGGACCCGGCGGTGAGGCCGTCTGCAGCTGACCTTCTGAAGATGAGCTGCATTGAGGAGAACATGCAGGTGGGCTCTGGTCAACCATGTTGTAGTCAAACATTAGTGGTTTGAGTTTATCGCCTTCTGCAAGTCCAGTTCCTTAATTAGCAGACCCCCACATATGGAACAGACAGCGTGGGATCAGACTCTAAAAGTGTTTCTGCCATTGAAAAACCTGGTTCTGGCCACATGGAGCAGATATACAGTATATCCATCAGCAATATATACACCCCCTTTCTAGGACGTGTGAGCACAGGCCTGTTTCACAAAGCAGGATTTCTTGTTTAGCTGGATAACTTGTTGGATTTAAGGTAGCCTGGGCTAAATGTAGAGAACAAAGAAAAAGTCCATCCAGCTCAGACTACCTTAAATCCAACAAGTTATCCTGCTAAACAATAAATCCTACTTCATGGAATACCCCCACTCCTTCCATGCAGAGTGCCCTCATGGCTTTCTCTGCAAGTCTCTCATGTCCTGGGTTTCATCCTTAACTGCATAAACTATTATCTCTACTTCACTCCACTATGAGCGTCACCGTGCATTGACTCCATCTACTGGTTTATAAAGAATGACCCTAACAGAGCATAAGCAGCGGGAACAAGGTAGTCTGATGCCGCAGGAGATGAAAACAAACACTTACACCTCATTGGTTGTGGGTGTTGCGTGTTTCTCTCCTGTCTACAGAGTATAAGACTCAAGATCTGCAGCAAGGCGCAGAAATGCGAGAGACACGCTGGCGCAATGTGAGTGCCCCTCCCCCACAGCTTCAGCTGGTGCACCATGTGACAAGAGGAAGCCGGCTGACAGCAGGGACTAACAGTAACCGACGGGCCATATGCCTCGGCTGCGTGTGACAAAGGGGCTAAGCGGGAGGCCCTGGAGCGCGGCGCCGCCTAATTAACATGCTGCTCACTCGCCGTCACCCTGCGGCCAGGCTCCAGACCGTCCTCCTCAGCCGTAACTCGCCGCATGGCCGGCATGCAAATCAAAATGTGTCTGGGGACTAATCAGAATAGCACAAATCGGATTATTGCAACTTGGCTTGCGTGTGGAGTGATGTCCCTCTGCTCTTTTCATATTTGTATGATTGTGTCTATAACACATATTTGGGCAGTAATCACATTCAGTATTAGAAAGCTGTCTTGAATATTATGTCTTGAATGTTATTATTAGTAGTTTTTCTTCACTGGTATGTAGCAGTCTTCATGACTGTACCTTCTGTCTGCCTGTTGCCAGTTTTTAGGTTTATTTTCGGTTTATAGCCATAGAGTTCAATGGCATCTCCTACATAGGACTTGGCACAGTAACGTTTGAGTTTCAACACCCTAATCCTGTAGTGGCTCCCTGTCTTGTCTGATGCTCCCCCACCCCATCTCACTCCCCTAGGCAGAAGACAGTTCCTTTGGGGCACTCAGACATGCAGAAGATGACCCCCCGTGAGAGGATGAGGCTGAAGAAGCTACAAGCTGCTGATGAGGAGGCCAACAGGCTAAAGTATGTGGGGATATGGCATGGGGGGGGGGTAATGACATCAACGGCAATGAAACTAACTCACCACAGTTAGAATGGGCAGTTAGAATCAGTGTGGCCACAGGCTGTGCTTTTATCTGGGAGCTCCCAGCATGCTGAGCTCAGAGTGTGACATAAAGAGCGCCACCTTGTGGGCTCCAGGTCTTACTTGATTTTGTTCCTTATATTGGGCTCCCAGTAAACTCCACTGCAGAGCTCTGCTGGACAGACAGAGGGTATAGGTCACGCTCCGTCTGTAAAATAAATGTTTATCAGCATCTTCTGACACAACAGACATCTCGCGGAGGAGAAGTATGAGGAAAACTGTCGGCGCATGCAGGAACTGCGGTGTCTGCATTTCCAGAAAGTCAGCGTGGATGTACTAAGTGTAAGATTATTATCATTCGTTTTTGGGTATATGCTTACTCAACCTTTGTATGTATACTTAATGTGCCCTATTTACCCTAGTTCAGTATTAACTACACTCCAAGGGGCTATACATGGACATTCTCTAACTGAGTACTAACTATACACACAGACACTCCACAGGGACATTCTCTAACGGAGTACTAACTATACACATGGACACTCCACAGGGACATTCTCTAACTGAGTACTAACTATACTCCCAGATTCTCCACAGGAGCATTCTCTAACTGAGTACTAATTATACACAAAGACGCTCCACAGGAGCATTCTCTAACTGAGTATTAACTACACTCCCAAGTGCTGCACATGAACATTCCTTAGCCAAGTATTAAATACATCTCCATTTGCTTTTTGTGATTTACATGCTCTCCACAAAGCACATTCCCTGGAGCTGGGCATGTGTTAATGTCTCGGGGTTTTGGCCCACACTCCTCTGACTGACTTCCAGCTGTAATTTTTCAGGAAAGTACAGAGGCGACCGGCTCCCATATCACAGTGCAAGGAGGCTGGTCACTGGGACAACTAGATGTGATGGGTGACCAAGATCCAGACGCTCTCAGGCTTTCAGAACTGGAAGGCAATGGTGAGATGTGAGAGGTGTGCCTAGAGTGGGATGGAGAACTGGGGCAGGAACATCGTTACTGGGATGCAAACTGGTTAATATTAGTCCCATGCCAGTGTGATTTCCAGGTGCTCTCCTGAAAATATCTAATTAGTTGTTGAAATGACAGGTGTAATGATAAAATGTTAATTTCTATGATACCTTCATGGAGTCATGTGATGGGTGCAACAAGTCCCATAATGCACTGGGGCCCAGGTCTTACTTCATTTTGTTCCTTATATCGGGCGCCCAGTAAACTCCACTGCAGAGCTCTGCTGGACAGACAGAGAGTACAGGTCACGCCCTGTCTGTAAAATAAATGTTCATCAGCATCTTCTGACACAACAGACATCTTGCAGAGGAGAAGTATGAGGAAAACTGTCAGCTGAATGAGTTCAGTGAAGGCATGTTGGTGAAGACGCCGGTGGTGGGAGATGATGGTCAGACACTGTGGCTGCAGTTTATAATGGATCACAGCACAAGCTGACTGTTTCTGATGCACTTTTAAGCACAGTGAAGTCTGAAACCTTCCCATTGTCCCAGTCATGTGCTGGCAGTTAATCACACCCAGCTTGATGAGAAACCAAAATACACAAGGTCACCTTAAAAAAGGGTGGGGGGCACATATTTTGGCACACTGTTTACAGTATAACCAATTTTTGAAACTGTATCCCTGCTGACAATAAACATCCCTCTGTATGATACTTCCAAGGCTGCCAGGGAATTTACAGATCAGACTTCCTCCTAAAAATGATGAATAAGTTCAAACTGCTTGGCTGGACGCTAAGAGCTTAATGATACTAACATCTTATCCTTAATGATACTGACATCTTATCCTGCTGTTATTTTGGAAAAAAAAACTCAGATATTTTTACACGACTGTGGAGTTTATTTCGAGCTTCTGTCACACATAATTTAACGAAATTGCAATTTCAAAAACAATATAAACTTTGTGCTCCAATCAAAACCAGCTACTATCACTTTATCAAAAAGCATCCCTAAAGCATCCCTAAAGCATCCATAAACCATCCCTAAAGCATTCCTAAAGCATCCCTAAAGCATTCCTAAAGCATCCCTAAAGCATCCCTAAACCATTCTTAAAGCATTCCTAAACCATCCCTAAAGCATTCCTAAAGCATTCCTAAACCATCCCTAAAGCATTACTAAACCATCCCTAAAGCATTCCTAAACCATCCCTAAAGCATTCTCAAAGCATTCCTAAAGCATTCCCAAAGCATTCCCAAAGCATCCCTAAAGCATTCCTAAAGCATTCCCAAAGCATCCCTAAACCATTCCTAAAGCATTCCTAAAGCATCCCTAAAGCATTCCCAAAGCATCCCTAAACCATTCTTAAAGCATTCCTAAAGCATTCCCAAAGCATTCCTAAACCATCCCTAAAGCATTCCCAAAGCATTCCTAAACCATCCCTGAAGCATTCCTAAACCATCCCTAAAGCATTCCTAAAGCATTCTCAAAGCATTCCCAAAGCATTCCTAAAGCATTCCTAAAGCATCCTTAAAGCATCCCTAAAGTATTCCTCAAGAATCCCTAAAGCATTCCCAAAGCATTCCTAAACCATTCCCAAAGCATTCCTAAAGCATCCCTAAAGCATCCCTAAAGCATCCCTAAACCATTCCCAAAACATTCCCAAAGCACTCCCAAAGCATCCCCAAAGCATCCCCAAAGCATTCCTAAAGCATCCCTAAAGCATCCCTAAAGCATTCCTAAAGCATCCCTAAACCATTCCCAAAGCACTCCTAAAGCATTCCTAAGACCCGATGTGGGCTGTACGGTAAGCAAGGTGACTTTTCTCTGAGAACTACAGCCTATATTTCCCACTGAAGGTAGCTACAGTTCAGAAACTGATATATATATAGTCAAAAAGGAAAAATTTAGGCACTGATAGTAATGCTAATGTTTAAATTACACTTTAATGTGTCCAATGAACGCATATTTCCCATGGAAATCAGTTGCACTGTTAGGGCTGCAGCTGATCTGCGTATTCAAACCCGATTGCCTGTTATTATAATAAATCACGCATCAAGTTAATGCTTTTTTTATGGATAACTTGATGTAAGCGATGTTGACTGGAAGGCAAATCGGCAAAGTTTTCGGTTTGGGCGTTAATGCCATTTCTGTCTGCCTCGTAACCCTGTTGTTTCGCCTGCTGCTGAGAGCGATGGCACCTAAAACTCTGTTCTGGAAACTTCCCTCCAATCATAGCCAGAGCAGCTAAATGATTATTGATTGCCTTTTTGCCTGTAATCTTGTTACCACATTACACCTACAGCACACCCACTGAGTCCATCTGCCCTGATCGCCTTGTGGCGAAATAATTGTAAGAAAATCTGCCTTTCTTATGGACAGAAGAATTGATTAATGGTGTGTTTTTGGTCTACATAAATGTATGCTCCATTAGTGTGGCAGTCTGGTAACTGGGCGCTACATGAATGCCTGAGAAGTCGTACATTTGTGCACGGATGCTTAAACGACTATGTTTATTTGCAGGTGAGTTCTGCAGATGCTTATGGTGGTAAGAGGTCCGTGTTCTCAGGTTAGCCTCCAGCATTTTGAGCTGAACGCATGGTGTTGGATGTTTTATATTGGTTTATATTTTCTAATTTACAGAGCTGCTTCATTGTAAATATGCATTCAGCCTTTCTTCACTTAAGAAGACACCCATGATTAAGAATGACAGCATTAATTAACCAACACAGCCATCACTTTCCCATTTCCCGCGGCCATCTGCAAAACATTTTTTCTCATTCATGAATTGATTTATTTCACATTTTAAATCAATTACAAACTGCATGTTCTCCACCCTTCTGCAGCGATGCTCAGTGCTCCCTGCTCCCCCCTGCCTCTCCCGAGCCAAAAGAACAACATGCTGAATTATTCACTTCTGCCGCTATGCCATGAATACTTTAAAACCAAACATGTGACTTCCACACAAAGTGACCGACAAGTGACCCAGGTTAGGCTCTGTATTCATGGCTGTGACATCACGGCCTCATCCTTAACTCGTGTGCCACCTGCATGACAATTGGCGAAGTACAACAGGAGTGGGTAGTTTACTTATTTAGATCATTTTTCTTATTCAGGAGCTAAGTTCTGCTGGAGATTCCTCTAGTGCCCAGTCAGCCTGAACACTGATCCTCCTCTTTTTATCTAAACTGACTCCCTTTCGCTCTCCATTGCGCCCGATGCTGACGCCATTCTTCTGCTATCTCTCAGTGCTCATACTGAAGGTGCACCATACATCTTCTGCGATGGATCACTTTGCATTTCTCCAGCGTTCATTATATTTAACGAGTCTGTGCACATTCCGTCATTTTAACTAGGTCTTTTTATAAATCTTTTTCTTCCCAGTGTTCTGCACCACCTGGTTTGGTGTACTCCAGCCAATTTATTATGGATGCCAGTGTCTGTCAGTTAGGTGCATTACAGAGAGTCTTGGCACTGAAGCTTATCATCCTGAATTCTACCCCACGGTTACAGGTATCAACCATGTCACCCTTGACTTGCCACGCACACACATGCACACACAGACCAATAAATATGCTACACACACATATGTTTGTGTTAATGTCTTTGTGGGGACTCCCCATTTAGTTCTATGGGAAAATCCCTAATCCCAGGAATAACAATCTTAGTCTTAAGTCTTAAAGTCATAAAGATTTAAACTTTAGGCTATTTTAGTTTTTGGATTGCAGTCACAGATTGTTATAAAATTTAGGTTTATATTGTGGGGACCTGAACAATGTCCCCACAGGCTAAAAAGTAGCAGGCTTTACTTTATTGTGGGAACATTTGTGTTACTTGTTGTAAATACCCCCCCCCCTAAGGATCACTGCACACACACATACACACCGCCCCACACACACACACACACACACACACACACACACACAGAGATCACCATCCTAGATGCTAGTCATGGAGCCCCAGCACGGACTGACCTTAATAAAGTCCCGCCCTTATACGGATGACCGCAGACACATCCCACAGACACTGAGTGTTTAATTGCCTTTCAGTGGCCCACATGCACCCTCCGCTGAAGGCCCCCCCCCCCACAAGCTGGGCTTTTTTTTCAGATGCTACTGTATCAGCATTTTTACTAAATTCAGTGACTAATACGCCAATCCCTCTTTGCCGCCTGGGGGGGGGGACACACTCTCAAGGCCACGGGTTGGTATCGATACCATTTAACACCTGCGCTCTCTTCACACTCATTTTACTGACACTAAAAGCATATTCTAACGTTCAATGTGAAAACGTGGGTTAACAGCCACAGCACTGCATCCCCATAGCTTGGGCCCTGCTACTCTCTCTGGGAAGCTAATCCAACAGATGCTTCCTGCGCCATTGTGGCCTTGACAGTTCATTTATTACGTCCGCACAAAGCGAAACAGCTGATCATATTTCCTCACATCAGCTGCACATCCTGTCCACACCAATTTCCCCTGTAATTGTATCCAGCAGAAACAGCTAGAATGGATGCCGGCAATATGGCTGACCCCATCAAATGCAGCTCGCAGTGCAACTCAGAGGACATGGCTTAGCTGTGATTTCGCAGTGGCGTTTCTCATCATCTCCACTGACTTTTCTTATTGACGGAAGGGACAGTTCCCCTCCCCCCACCCATCTCATGAAGTTGCATTTATAGGAATACTTATTAGCCTGATTGCAGCATTTTTTTCTAGAGATTCCAGTGGATCCCCAAAAAGCCGAGGCCTACTACAATGAGGATGGGTTTGAATCTTGCTCCGAAGAAGATGACGAGGCTGATGAAGAACTTACAAGTGGGCAGGTATGAGAACAGGATGGACTGATATGATGCCCCTGGACTGACTACAAGGCTTCAATGTCTAATCATGTCCTTGCTTTATTTATCATAGAAGTAGCTTGTTTTGTTAAACTCTGTGAGTTAAATGTATCCATAGTGATCTTTAGAGGAGAGTCATTCAGTCACCTTGAATCATGGACCCTGAGGGATTTCAGTGGCTGGTGTGGGCATAATGAGTATCTGCTCTGTAAGATCTGTGGGTGCAAGTGAACATGGAACTTTAACCTTAAGGTGTGGCTGCTTTTAGATCCTGTAATGCCCTCCCCAGGGTCCGAAAAGAACCTGAATCGATGTCCAGATATCTGAAGAGGGAAATTGCCCGAGGACATATTTCCAAAATTCATTGGGACACAAACTGTGCTCAGCAAATGCAAAATTATACGTAGAAAGAGGCTGGAAAAACGGCTGGAAAACTTTTCCCATAAAGACATCTTTCAGTCTGTCCCTTAGCATGAGTGATCCATGCATTGTCTGGTTTAGCTGGGGAGCGTTTGTTTGCTTCACTGAAAAAGCATTTTGGGAGATGGTGGGAGGTTTGGTTGGCCATCTCTGTTTCACTTTCACCCAATTATTGGTCTACAGTATCACAAAAGCCTTGCAAGAAGGACATATTAAAAGTGAAATATAACAACAGTTCACAAAGAAAAATCCTGAAAACCAAAAATAATGGAAGCTCTAGCTTTCTGACAGGGGGATTTGCCAGTGATTCCCGCCTGTTTGGAGTGGGGGAGATCTATAACCTTCAGTAGCCTGCATCTCCAGCAAATTGGCCAAGTGTACAGACACTGAGGGTGGAGAGCAAGAAGATCAGCTCAGCTTCAAGTTCACCAAAATTTCCTGTCACTTGGTTGCCTCACAGGTCCTGGGCAACTTTCCATATAAACAGCTAAGATGAGATAAGTCAAGACAGAACCTTAGTGATCACCCAGGGGGAAGTTTTCGTTGTTCAGCAGCCCTACAAAACCAAACAATAGGGTTGCAGTACTATGTGCTCAGGCTTTGAATACCTCCTGCCCTCACAGAAAAATCTCTGGGATGAAGGGGTGTGATTCGCTTGGCACCACCCTACTAATACCTCACACATGCACTTCCACCTTGATAAGAATAATAATACTTACTACAAGTACATAGGAATTGGGATGTTAATACTCGCCCAGTCAGAGGATTCAGACTAGCAACCTGCTGGGCATAGACAATTAACCTGCACACCACTCCATTAAGTGTATCTGACAGACTCCATTAAGGATTGTACATGGGCCACAAGACTGATGCTCAAACCACTAAAGGGCGCTTTTCCACTGCACCATGTACGGTACTTTCGGTACTTCCGCTTTTTCACTGATTTCCGGTCGAGTACCAGTACCAAAAGTTCCAGCACCAGAAGTTCCAGTACCAAACGTTCCAGCACCAAAAGTTCCAGTACCAAAAGTGCCAAGCCGGCTGGGGTACTTCTTTGGTACTTCGGTACTTTGGGGTGGGACTTTGTTTTGTCGATTGGTTCAGTACTAGCCTGCTGCTGAAACACAATATAAACGGTGCCTTAAAAACAGTTGTGAACTCAGAAAATAATGATAAACAAGAAAAGTAAAAAAATCCAGATCAAGATGGCATGACAAGAAATATAAATATAGCGATGTTGTTAGTTGTAATAAATGTTGGGGTATTTATTAAACAAAAAAGGAGTTAATTTTCTCACAAACCCATCTTTGAGTGATTTAAACAGCAAGGATGAAAATGATTGTGAAGAATGTTTGCAGCGCTCATGCAAAAGCAGTGGAGGTAACATTTTAAACTGATTTTTAAACATAAAAGAATTTATAAAAGGAATAATAATTGAAATTGCAAAGTTCGCCGTTTTTTTCTCAATAACAGAATAACAGAGTAAAAATATTTTATTGAAACTTTAACCTCCGTGCTATAATGTCCATACAGAATTAAAAGTAAGAAAAAGCCTGACCTTAATCCAAGAATTGTATGTGTATATCATGCGATGTTGGTATTAATATTGCATATCGCCAAGCCGTATAATATGCTACAGCCATTTTTTGAATTCAGTACAAAATACCCCGGCTCTTGCTGTGATGTCATTCGTTGCTGGTACCAGTTTTTACGGCAGTAGAAAACACCTTGAAGTATCGGTAAAAAAAGTTCGGTATCTGGTGTGGTGGAAAAAAGTTATGGCGTTTGTTTTCTGGGCGTGATGCCTTTACGGAGGTACCTCAGCCAAATGAGCGTATCTGGCCTCCACTGCAGTGACCCACTGAGTGGCCAAGCTGAGCTGTGTCCCTGTGTTCCAGCAGGATAGTGACCTGGAGGCCATGGTGAGCTATATGAAGAACATTCTAGGAAACCCCAGCACTGGTGAGTTAGTATCACACTGCATATTTACTGTTTAGTACAGAACTGCACACTATATCTGGGGGAACTTGAAGATACAGCCTGGAAAGTGCCACCTCCACACTCCCAGTGATTTTAGTTATGCATCAAGAAGAGAGCATAGATTAAGCAGAAGGGGGAGTCGCACTTAAGGAAATGAATTATTCATAACGAGGCTGCAGCTTCAAGTGTTAGCAGTGTCTTTGAGGAAGGTGCTTAACCTGGACTGTTTCAGTATTAGCTGCATGTTTTCCACCTTACACTCTTCCAGTGCACTGCCTTAGGCATGCTTCACCCCCCCCTCCAGTGCACTGCCTTAGGCATGCTTAAACCCCGCCCCCCCAAGTGTACTGCCGTAGGCATGACTCACCCCTCCTCCCCCCAGTGCACTGCCGTAGGCATGCTGCACCCCCCATATTACAGCCTCTCATCAGTGAGGATCTTACTGGCTCATAAAGCCACCACAGTTTAGTCTGACACTGTAACCATTCCACGTCTTGGTGGCGAATGTAAAGTTATTGTAATTTGTTG